TTATTTTGATATATCACAGTGAAAGATTTATCGTCCTCTTTTTTTTTTTTTTTTTTTTAAAAAAAAAAAAAAAAAAAAAAAAAAAAAAAAAACAGCTGACACTAGAGCTTTAAATTTACATAAAGAAGTTACTTAAAGGAGTGAGAAGAGGGCTCAGACAATAAAGTATTTGTTTCCTAATCATGAGAGTCTGGGTCTGGTCTCTAGAACCCTTGTAAAATGTGAGGTGTGGTGGTGTGTGCTGGGGCTGCAGAGACTAGGGTCTCTGGGGTTCATCTGGGCAGCCAAGCCTAGCTGAATTCGGGAGCTCCAAGTTAGTGGAGATTCTGTTTCAAAGACCTGTACAGACGGTGATATCTGAGGTTGTCCTCTGGCCTCCACACACATGTGCATACACGTACACCTATGCACACACACACATAAGCATAATTGTTTTTAAAGAAGCTATTTAAATAGTGGTTAGGAGAAAATTCCAAGAAAAGACATGAATGATAATGTTCTCTGAGGAAAAAGACATTCTGCAGGGAGCACCAAGAGTAAAGAGCCTTGAAAGATGTTGATACATTTTTCCTTAGCATCACGAGCCAAGGAGGACTCATCTTCCAGCTGCTGCTGTACCTGTGAATATAGGGGACTGAAGTGGCAGCTGTGATCCCCCAAGGCGGTCACCACAAACACAATTCTGCACTAAAACATTTGTGGCTTTTTCTTTCTCCCAAATTCTCATTAAAACCAATTGTGTTGGGGCTGATGAGCTGACTCGGGCATTAAAAGCACTTGCTATTCTTGCAGAGGACCTGGATTCGGTTCCCAGTCACCCACAACATCGTTGAGTTCAATTCCAGGGGATTCGATGCCCACTTCTGGCCTCTGTGGGCACCAGGCACACAGTAGGTATATATACATACACATACATGCAGGCAAACACTCATAAGATAAAAATAAATAAATCTTTAAAAAGAAAACCAATTGCATTTTGCTTTTATATCCTTGAGCGGTTTTTTTACTTCTGGATCAAACTACAATGTGTGATCCCCTTGGACCTTGTAAAATCTGTCCTTATTGCTGGTTTACTATACATCATTCAGTTCCCTACCCCTAGTTATAATTATTTGTTACCACTTTAAATTCCTTCAAGGGTAAAATTCAAACAATTTTCTGAACTGAAATCTGAAAGCTTGTCTGTTTCACACACATACACAGTCCAATACATACGTGTTTCCTCTGTTTGACATTTCTGTCTCGACTGGTGCTATATCTTCTTTTCTCCTTTCCTAGTCCTATTAATCTTTATTCACCGCACACCAGGTTTCTGACGTTGCTTATTTTATCTCCCTTTAAAGCGCATGTACAGATTTGATTACCCAGAAAAATTTGTGTTGATAAAACACATATTTCAGTGTCTTATTACTGACAGTCAACACATCCAGATTATTTTCTTCAGTTTTTAGCAAGTTTGTTGTTTTTAAACATGCCTGTCCCAATCTTTATGACACAAACCATGCGTTAGGGATGTTAGTTATCCTTTGTTTATAATGCTTGATGTTATGAGCCCTTTATTAAAATTACCTTATTGTATAACTAGTCTACAACAGTGCTCTTAACTGTAACATGAATTAAGTGAGCCGCTTTTCATTGGGTGCCCGCATTTGCGCAGTAGCCGGTGTTCCACTGCCATCTAGCGGTTCTCTACTCTGTGGATTTTTTTTTTTTTTTTTCTCCAGAAGTACTTTGAAGATGCCAAACTGGAAATGATAAAAGCGTCACTTCATAATGCGTCGAAATAATCTCGTTTAACGTGAGCGAAGGATGACTAGGCAAAATAAATTACCTGGAAATAAAATGCTCAAAATTTATAGTTAAAGAGTTTTGAAAACGTCCCTCCATGCTGATGCCTGAGGGATTGTGACGTCAGAAGCGCCAGGAGCTCTTCTGCAACCCACCTGCCTCCTCCTCCAGCCACTGCCTCGCAAAGTCAAGTTCATCACCCATCCCAGCATCCACCTTACGCAGTTCCCCTCCTACTGAGTTCTGTAAAAGCTGCTGGCATGCACATCCTCTGAGCACAGTGGCAGGGGATGCAGGGAAGAAATCTGACGGGACTGCATCACTGCCTATCTCCACCCAGGCCCCTCTGAGATGGGGGTTATTCTGAGACGGGAAGAATAATCTCAGGAGATACTTACGGAACAGCAGCCCCAAGACTGTCTTAGAGCTAGCACGTTGCTCTTCCTCATCAAATTTCTTTAAGGACATTTACATTTTTTTCTTCCTTTGTGCAGATTTGGGTCAGTCTAGCACAGGACAGTTCCTAGTAAGTAGCAGCACTCAGCAAATATTGAATGAATTACTGATTAAATGAATGGATTCAACAGACAGGAAAATTAAGTGCTGCTCCAAATTAGGAAGGGTATGATGAGGCGAGGGGCTTGATACCAGGCAGAAGATCTCATCTTGCAAATAAACCCTTATAGCCACGAATCTTACGGTTTCTTCTATTTAACAGTGGTGAAAAAAAAAAAAAAAAAAAAAAAAAAAAAAAAAAAAAAAAAAAAAAAAAAAAAAAAAAAACACTACATAGCTATTTTTGAAATCTGACATCTTACTGTGACTTCCTTTGCAGGTCTATTCCAAAACCCTTTGTGCCAATACAACCTCTACCGTTTGTATGTCATCTACCACCTTCCAGGAGTGGAGTTGCTTGATGGAAAATGTAGGGACACCCCTTTCTTGCAGAAACATTTGAGAAGCTGTCAAAGCTCAGTGCTTTGAAAAATGCAGAGCATCTTTGAAAATTTGTCTTTGTAAAACAATACTGTTGAATAATTGTACATGGAAGGGGGTTTTGTTTGTTTTTATTCACTGGGGAAATTTGCCCTAGCTTAGGAATTCATGTCTCCTTGACTTTACTAGAGAGACCATGTGGCCTAGTGGGTTGAAACTCTCTCCCTAGGGTCTTGCTTTTAACATTAGCATGGTGGATACCAAATTGTTTCCTGACACTTTGGTTTCTTACCTCAAAAATGAAGGAACTGAAGTAATTCTCTTAAGGTGTAAATCCTAAAATTCATTTTCTTTGAAATTCTGTAAGTTCATATTATTAAAATTGGATAACCAACAGTAACTTCTTTCAAATGTATATTCATGCACTATACATAAACTAGCATGTTTGGTTTATAGAAGCCACATGGACACAAACAATGCCCACGCATGCCATTGTACAGTTTTAAGACCTATTTTACCCCCAAACAGTATAAGCCATCCCATTACCTTTCTAAATCCATGAGGACAGATCAAAGCTTCACTGCCAAATCTCCTTTCCAACAGTGGTGAGGGAATGCAGGGTGTAGCATGCTGTGACGTCAGCCATGCACACTGATGTGTTAGAGTTTCAGGAGTGTGTGAGACTGCAGGATTGAACTCCACCTTGTGACAAGGGCATCTACTGAGTGCTTGTAAGATTATAGAATTAGCCGTGAAATCTCTTTACAAAATCTGTTTCAATGACATAGGTACACATAACATAATTCAGATAAATATACATTATATGTGTGTTTGCATGTTTATAAGTGTGTGGGCATACTAGCATGTGCAGGTATGTGTGAACATATGTATGCATGTAATGTAGAGGTCAGAGATTGACATATTGGGTGTCTTCCTTGATCTCTCTCCTCCTTATATATTGGGGCAAGATCTCTCATTTAAACCAGAGCTTTGGGACTTGACTAGTCTGGCTAGCTAGCTTGCCCTGGGAACCCCCTGCTCTGCCTTCCATGTGCTGGGATTACAAGCAGGATACCACACCCACTCAGCATATATGTGGATGTTGGGGCCTCAACTTGGGTCTTTACGCTTTGCCCACTAAGTCTTTTAAGTGCCTAAATCTATTTTGACTCACTGTGTATGCCCGTGTTACTGCTACATACTATTTCTTTTCCCTTTATCAGAAGTTACAGAAAAAGAAAGAAGATCCATGATTACCATTTTTAACCATAAAAAAAGCTCACATCATTCAATCAATAGCATTCAGAGGAAAAGTAGATACCTCCTGGAATCCGAAGTTACCAATAAAGCAGAAATGGGTCCAGAGACTTCCTTCAGGTACTGTGAGAAGAAATGAATCAAAACTCCTTAAACTTTTGGAATACTTGTAATGAAAACGATAACTTACTTACCTGCTAGCGAAATAGCTTCTGATGACTTTCCAGGATCATGTTTCTTAGCCTACTTTCACTCTAGAGAAGATGAACACTGACTTCCCTTTGCATCTTCACTGATTGCATGAGATAATGCTCACTGAAGGCCTTGTGTAGTATGCAGCACAGTGCCAAAGAATCAAGAAAGAAGCCAGTTGCTGTTATTGCCACTGACACAGGACAGCTTTCTCAATTAAGGGTGGAAGTTTTTGATGACATAGAAACAATAATAAGAAGAAATGAAGATCATTTGCAACTCTACCACCCAGAAATTAGCATCAATCATGCTTTGGCTATATTCACACTCTAGGTAGCACATATAGATAGGACACATATTTTCAGTTATGTTTTGCTGGTTGGAACATAATGTATTATATGTAACAGATGTCCAAACAAGTATTTATTTTTCTCATATAGCAAAGGATATAAAGGACAAGATACATCTCTTTCTGATTCTGCTTTTCTTCGTGTGCTTCATGGCTGCAGGGTGACTGATATACCACCAACCATCACATCTCTAATCTAAGAAAAAAGAATGAAGTATGGTATAATTTTTTGTCATGATGCTTTGCCAAATAGCAACTATTAAATTGAAAAATAATTTTGAAGAATTTACCCAGAATGCAAATGGAACGAGAAAGGCATCAAAGATAGCATTGATGTTTTAGAAAGAAAAGATTCCATGTGTTTAGCAATCATTCCTGAAGGAGAAAATCGAACAGAAGGCAATCTTTGAAACAGTAATAGTTCAGAATTTTCCAAAACAAACTCGAACCCTTAGATTTTTGAGGCAAAAAGCATCCAAAGACATAAAGGACACATAACTAAAACAAAAAATATAAACGAAAAACAAGCAATTTTTAAATGGAAAAATTGCAGGTTATTTACAGAAGGATAAGAGTTAACCAATTCCTTAACTGCATGTGGAAGTCAGAAGACAGGGGTCAAAATCTGAAGAGCACTGAGGGGAAGTAGCTGCCAATTGAGAATTCTAGAAACATCTAGACTATTATTCCACATTGAAGAAAGGGGAAAGAGAAAATTTCGAGGCCACAGTAAGACTTTTTCCTCAACTTTTACTGTGAAGACTTTATAACAGAAAAAGTTGAAAGAATGCCAAAACAAGTGCCTCTGTATGGCCATGCCTATTCCACAGCTACTGATATTCTTCCATGTTCACCTAGCCTCCACACTACGATATCGTCTTCTTACTTGGGATGGATGGTACTCTCCAGAAGTTTCTACTTATACTGGAAAACATTAACATGCTGCTGAGTCATTATTTGTTTTGTTTTGTTTTGTTTTGAGAAAGGATTTCATGTAGTCCAGACTGCCTTTGAACTTGCCATGTAGCAAAGAATGACCTTGAACTCCTGATCTTCTTGCATCCTGAGCACCAAAGTTACAGGTGTGGGCCAACTACCCTCAGCTTCCGCTGCACCATTTAAATCTTTCAATAGCAGACATCATAATACTTTGTTATTAAGTAATTTAGCCTGAAAGTCTTCAGAGATGGAGACACAGGGAGTAACTCAAGATCTGGAGGTAGCCCTCACTGGCAGCCCTGCTGAAAACCAGAACAAAAACAAATCAAAGGGCTGGAGAGGTGGCTCAGAGGTTAAGAACACTGACTGCTCTTGCAGAGGCCTAGGGTTCAATACCCAGCACCCATAGAGCAACTAACAACTGTAACTCCAGTTCCAGGGGATCCATGCCCTCTTCTGCCTCCACGGCATTGCATGACACGGGTGCACTTACACACATGCAGGCAATACACTCATACACATAAAATAAAAATAATAAATAAAATAAAAACAAAAACAAATCAAAGTGGGGAAGGATGTGGGAAGAAGGGGGGATGCCAAGGAGGAGAGGAGAGGGATAGGTATGGACGGATGCACGTGAAGAAAATGTATCATATACATGGACAAAGATGCCAAAGAATGAAGAAATAGAAAATAAGGACATTCCCTTGTATAATTACCATCCTGTAATCACACCCTGGAGAGATAACTAATTTATATTATTTAAAATTTATATTATTCTTGTTCCAAGAAGGCTTCTACAGATGCCCTTTTAAGTATACATATTTATTCATTTATTTTATTTTTGGTCTTTTTGTGACAGGGTCTCCCTGTAGCCCCAGCTGTCTTGGGACTCACTATGTAGACCAGGCTGGCCTGGAACTCACAGAGATCCACCTGCCTCTGCCTCCCGAGTGCTGGGATTAAAGGCGTGTGCCACCACACCCAGCTTATTTTTAATTTTTTAAGGAAGGCTCTCAGGTAGCCCAGGCTGGAATTAAACTGGCTATGCAGCCTAGGATAACCTGGAACTTTTGATCCTCTTGCCTCTACCTCCCTAGTGCTTGGATTATAGGCTTATACCATCAATGCCCATGTTAATGTGGTTCTGGGGATCAAATCCAGAGTTTTCATGCATGCAAAACAAACACCTGAGCCACTCCCCCATCTCCCTTTATAAATTTAGAATAGATTGTTCAGGTTTTCCACCCGTGACTTTGAAGGCACTAGGTCAGCGCAGCAGAATGCCTTGATTTTAATGCATTTCCTTAAGGTTTCTTTAATTTGCCTGTTCATCCCTCTGTTTTCCAAAAAAGGAAGCAATTCCTGAAGGACACATGGGTACAGAGGAGTACCCTGTAGAGCTGTGGTGAAACTAGGTCCCCAAACTAGCTGCAGTGTCACCCAGGAACTCATCACAAATACAAACTCTCAACTGATTGGCTAGAAACTTTCCTCCCCCATGTTTTAACAAACTATCTGGGTGATTCTAATGCACAAAGTACAAAACCCAGAAGAGTCCCAAGCGACAAACTTTCCTGAGTCCCAGTGCAGGTGCCCAATCATTAGAAGTGTTAATTTGGATGTTACTTTTGCTACAGCTTTTATGTCCTAGTTAGCATTGTCTACTTGAGACAACTTAGAATCACCTGAAAAAAAGTCTCAATGAATTGCTTTTATTAGGTGGGCATGTCTGTGCAGGATTGTCTTGATTATTAATTGATTCAGGAGGTCCCAGCACACTGTGGGCAGCACCATCCCTAGGCAGGTGGTCCTAGGCTTCATGAGCATGAGCCTGAGTGAGCCAGAGACCAAGCAAGTAAGCAGCCATTGCTTCACGGCTCCTGCCTTCAGGTTCCTATCCTGATTTCCTGCCCTGCCCTCCGGATTGGACTGTGAGCTACAAGTATAAGACAAACTGTTTCTTCCCCTAAGTTGATTTTGGTCAGTGTTTTATCAGAGCAACAGAGAAGTGACTAAAACAATATGTCTGCTGGAGATTCTAACTCAGGTTTGTATGGTTACAAAGCAAGCACTCTTATGTACTGAACCATCTCCCCAGCCCCATGTTTTTATTAAATTTTTTTTTTTTTGTATTTTGTATGTGTATGTTTTGCCTGCATGTATGTAAGTACACCTATGTTATGCATGGGTGGAGGCCAGAAGAAGGCATCAGATCCCCTGGAACTGGAGTTACAGACAGCTGTTA